CCATATGAGGGGAAAAGTGGTAATATTAAGCATAGTCTGTACTGAACTAACATTGAAAACACATTAAAACATTTGAAACACTAGGTTATGATATGCACATGCACGGTAGGACTGCTCGATGGGTAAGACAAATGTTGCCTTCAAGTCGTCCTCAGAGGTTCATGCTTATGACTTTAGAGGTTGTAAACAAGACTTGATTTGTGTTTAAGTGGTTTTGGTCGGAAACAAGATAGATGCGCTGGAAATAATGCTTTTTGATTATGGTTGTTTTTCTTTCATTAAAGAGAGACCGTTTATGTTGCATTACTAGCAGCTGTTATTGGGGGCGGTCTTTGCACTAGGCCAAGGTAGTCATGAGCCAAAGGTCCCATGAATATACAAATTAGATATACTGTACATGCTGATGTTAAATAACCTATTCTGAAATATATTTTACATTTTGAAAATACCTGTTATTTCTGATTATAGTAATTGTTTTCAGTGATTCCAATGCAGCCCCACTTTTCAGTCATGGTTATAATGGACTATTCCATGTTGTTACCTGATGACACAACAGCCTAAAGACAGGCTCCTATGAACAAGGTAATTACGTTCTAATCTAGATTTTGGAGAGGAGGTACTTCACCGTGATTTTTTGGATGGAAAATCTAATAAAGTTGTACAAGCGTAGCAAAGAAATGCAAAAAGAGAGAGCAAAGCAAAAGGTTTGCTGCTCCACTCCCAAAGTTTTTTGAGCCAGAACAGAGCACTGCACAGGCTCAGCAGATTGTAATGCTAGTGCTACTGTGAGTGTAGATAGTACCAGTGTTGACGTAATTATTCAAAAAGAGTGATCCATTAAAGTTACTAATATTTTTTCTCAAAACTGAATGGGATCACGTTGCTTAAAGCTTCTTGGGAAAAAGTAATCTCACTATTCATTACTTTTCTTCTGCATTACTCCTCATTACCTCACCTTACTCTACCAAATTATCTCATTATATTGGCAAATACTTTTTCTTGTTTCAAGAATATTTCTTAACCCAAGCAAACTGATCTGCCAATATGAGATAACACTTAATATCATTACTTAAGTAAAAATGTCTAGAAATTAGTTACTTATTATATTCTTATAGCAAGCTTGAAATAAGAACTATTATATATATAACACATAGTCTCTTGCCAGGATATCATTTTTTGAAGGATGGACAATCTAAACATGTAAAAATGCCATTCAGGAGTCCCCCAGTCCTGTCTTCTGCCTCAAGACCCAGAATCACTAAATCTGCCCCGACTGTTATCAACCTAACTAAAAACAAGGAAGAGAATAACTTCAGTATTAGTGCTGAATCAAAGCCAGTCATAGCAAAGATATCAAACATGTATGAGGCATGACAGTAGCCTAGCCTACTATACAGGATCTTACCTCAGACTAGAGCAGATAACCTGTCCTTTGACGAGATGCTCTAACTTTCCAATAATTCTCTTCCCTCCATGTGATCTTTCATCTTCCTTTCTGCCCCCCTTCATCCAGACGTGTACTCACACACGTTCTCAGTTCAAGTGCCTCCCCATCTCCCTGGCTTCCCTCCAAGTAATAAAAAGAGCATACTGAAGAAATGTATTTGTTGTGTCAGTATGAGTCGGAGAGGGATGCGTCTCCAGTAAGTCTAGAAACATACTTGGATAGCTGGACTGAGAGGGGAATCTGCCTTTCTGTGTTTCTCTCTGTAGAAGTGATTAACGCTTAGGATACACAAGCCTTGCAGTTTGCTCGGTGGGGCATGAATAATCGAATCTTTTTATGAAAGCACAAAAAGAGCTTTCTGAGGGCTGAGGAAGGAATCCACGTGATTAGAAGTTTCCTCTCCTTAGGCTGGTTTTTAAATACAGATAGGCAGAGTTGTAGACTAAACAGGATTTCCAGTGGAAAACACTCACAAAAATTGTAGGATTAACCAAGACTAGGTTTCATCTGAAAATTGAAAGGACAAAAGCTGTTAACTGCACAGAGGACAGACTAAAATTTCTCTGTGATGTGCAAATAACGGTCAAAAAGTAGCTCTTATCAAGAAAAGCATCAGAAGGTCATCTGTATAAACCTTTGCACCTCTAACTATTCAAACAACTGTATTCTTGCTGTAAAGTGGGAGTGATTTGAGTTGTATAATTTGGCTATGAACAGTTTTATGTAGCATCATAAACAAATTTAAATTGGTGAACCAAAATGGATGTTGGGCATATCAAGCAGCAGATGAACAATATACAACAAATACAGTAACATTTTGCCCCAAATGAAGATAAATTTGACTTCATGTTGAGATCTGGACTCAGTCCATTGATCTGAGAACACCAGCAGTTTCTTGACAGCTGCACATCCTTTCCAACCCATAGCTTTGGGCTGTCTTTTCACAGTGGAAGGATCGACAGACATACCTGTGGAATTATTTCAGATTAGAAGCAACAGTTGATTTTCTCCTCTCTCTTAAAGATGACAGCTTTAAGTATATTTGTATATTTTATAATATATGATGCCATAATCAAGGTGCAACAGAGAGGGATTCATGACTAGAGGTTTTAGTTCACAGCTCAAAAAACAGTATTCTGACCAAGGCACACATACAAAGAAGATATAATCCAAAAATCAGAGTGAAAAGACCAAAAAAAAAAAAATCTCAAAACAATAGCAGCAACACTAAATCTTTGTGACCTCACAATTAGCAAGTAGCAGTTAAATAGGGAGGAGGGAACCTGTAATGGGCAACAGGTGAGTTCAATCATAAGTAACCATGGAGAGGAGGACCTCTGGTGCCGAGGTACAGGTATGGCAGGCACAAGGCTTTCTTCAGTGTCCATTTCTGTCTGATCTCTGCCAAACACTAAATTTTACACCACCAAGTGGTCACGATGTGGCAGCAAACATCAGAGTTGTCTAATTTAGAACCCTACGTTTGTCAGTTGGTGATTCCACAGTTGGGTGCCATTTGTGTTCCACTGATATTACATTTATAAATATACATTTAAAGTAGGGGTTAAATGCATTAAATACTTACAAGTGCAAGTTTCACAGAAATAACCTAAAACCAACAGCACTGCATTGTTTCAAATGTTCCTTGATTCAGCTCATCAACTTATAGAGCCTTTAATGAGCTGAATCAGGTGGGTTGCAGCAGGTAGTGGTGAAACTGTGTAGTGCTGTGGGACGCCAGGAGCGAATTTAATAAACACTGGCCATAGGCCTTACTGTGGTTAAGGAGCCTTTTGTGGCCTTTTAAAAAAATATTAATTACCTAATTATTATTATTAATTATTATTATTGTTCATTTTTTTATTTCTTTCCAGGACCATTTTCAGCCTTTGCGTATTCGAGTTACAAAGTGGAGAAAAACATGGATGCCTATAGTTAGCTAGCCAGCTAATGTTAGAGATATGAGTGATAACTTATCAGAATAGTAAACTTTATGGTCAGTGTTATAGTTTAACCTACTGTAGTGTCTGGATGTTGACTGAGATAAAGCAAATATCATTTAAAATTAAAGTATTGATTTTTTTTTTACTGCTGACTGTGTGAACACATGCTGATTTGGCATCATATGCTGAGCTCGGAGTCAAGAACACCATCACAACTTTCTGAGTAGGAATTCCCAGTTAATGGGGCGTTTTATATTTCCTAGTCTGAAGTGAGAAATTCTGAGTGAGGAGCTGCAGGAGAACGCAGCATAAATTCAGGGTTTGGGTCATGGGCTCCACCAAAGCTCATGCAAAGGACTTGAGGAGCGTATTTTTCAACAGTAGTGCATTGGACCTCAGCTAGACTAGCCTCAGTAAGCTATTTAGCTAGCGCAGCGAACTTTGTAATACAAACCATGTTTTTCAGAAGTCAGAGCATAGCATACACTCAAAGAATGATTTATGGCCATCATAAACATTAAGCAAATATTTTACATAAAGCTTATTTTAAAAACTTAAAAATATACTTTACTTATTTATATTCATTAGAAGCAACCCAATTTGGATAAATCCAAAACTGATTTAATTCAACTGTATAAGATCTATTAGATTTTTCCACTAAATCTTATTAGGAGGCAGTGCGCATGTGCAATAGTAACAGGAAACGCATCATCAACCAGGAAATTGCTTCAGCTGGCATGATGGACATGAAATAGCTCTTTTTATTTTTAAGTAAAAATACATCCTTTGTTATTCAGTGCAACTGCAATGAATATTAGCATGGCATGAAGTGACTGACTTGCATTATGGTTAGCATTTGAGCTGCACCTCAATGGGAATGTTGTGCACATAAACATTTGCTTTAATTAGTAGTTTAGTTGCGAGTGAACAGAAATTCTAAAGCAGGGAATTTGATCACAGCTGAAATATATAAAGTTATGTTTATTTCTTTCACATTAGACTTTAAAGTTTACATGTGTCTTGTTTGCGTCAGTAAATACTGTTTAATACAGTTTGGACTACAATAAATGTTTGTGAATTTATTGTCATTCAATACATTTACACTAAGTAATTGTGCTGTGAATACAGAAGGTACTATTAACTCTTTAGAAATACATAAATGTGATGTTAAAGAATTGCATAAATCCTACAAATACTTCTAATTTAAATGTCATTTAATTCATTCAGGTTTATTGAAAATGATGGAGAAACAAATTATAATACATTTTTTTTACATTGGATTAATGTATTTAAATTGAATGGAAAATTGACGTAATTAAAATACATAAGTTTTAACTTTTGGGCTTAAATATTTTTTTGAGTGTACATTTGGTGAAAGCTTTGTCTGGTTTACGTATTTTTTTTGTTGCTACTTGTGTAGCCCTTAGCTGACTAAGTAGCAAACTAGTAGTGTGAAGTCCTGCATATCAGTTAACCTGTTCTTATTCTTTTTATTTGATAAATGATAACATAAAAACTAAAATCCAATCAGCTCCAGGAAAATGTATTGTGATATAATTTATCATAATAGGGATGAGTATGGTCACCAACCCTTAGGTCCAAAGGTTAACGTCTTCTCTTACCCAACCATTCACACTTCCCTGTTTGCCTTCTTTCTGCTGAATTCCTACACCTTAGCCGGAACGACCACTCTCCCTGATTTCCATTCCAAGGTAGATTGTGTGACACCACCAAGATGCGTGAAAATTCTAAGTCAATTTTGTGTAATGTAATTGTCAAAACGTGCAGCATTTAGCTTTACAGAAATGTGTAGAGAAAGTGACATTGGATAGACTGCAGCAAACCTTATATTTAGTCATTTAGGCCATTTGGCTTTTAATAGCATTTCTTTCTCAGGGGGACAGTAAGGCCACCTGACCAGGCAGAAAGCCGAGCACCACTTTGGTAAGTATTGCGTAGATTGTCATGGCAGTACTACTTTTAATCTAAATGCTAACAGCAGTACTACTTTGTGCAGTTGACGAAAGGCAGCATTTCATTTAGTTGTTTTATAATGAGTATTTATTTTAACAGTAATGGTAATTTTAATATACAACTGAGGAAAGTATGTCCAGTCCTGACTTTATCTAGGTTATATTGCATGAAGGCTGAGCACATGATTGTGCTACTTTAGACCTCCAGTGGCAGCTCCTCTTTCTTCACTGTTAATGCTCAAAGTACATGCACCTCAGGTCAGCTCAGCTTGCAGTGAGAGATTCAGAATATTATTGGCTATAATTACATGGTACATTTTGTTAGTCCAGATTTATGAACTCAGACAACCTTGTCTTCCACCCATGTATCACTTTAAGGTTTTATTTTCAAAACTCTTCCAAGGTAGAAGGTGGACCACCTATAGCTTTGTCTGTCAGTGGTTTATAAGACAAGGAGTCGTGTGGGTTTGAGCCAGCAGTCATCCCTTTACATGTTCATCACTAAAGGTTCATGGATGGGGAGCTAAGCCTGTATGGGGGGGTGGAGTCTGTGGTCATTGTCCCCAAAGAGAATTTTTTTAATTTATTTGTATTGAAAATGGACTTTCAGAGTAAAAAAGGCTTAGCTTTCACTTTCCCTACTCATAAAAACAGGACCATGAGCATTTTCACAACTTAACTCAATTTTAACCTGGCTTCCTTACCTTTGAAGTGTAATGTTGGCAGTTTTTTAGAATCAAGGTTGACAGCATCTAGATTCACAAATTGGTATATTACTACTGCAGTAAAAGATATAATTTGTTAAACACTTACACTTACTTGCTGTCTAAGCATTCCCCTCAACATCAGGAGATTCTGAGTTTGAACCACATTGATGCCACAGCCATCCATAAGGGGGAGCCCAAGTAGAGAAAATGCCTGGTGGTGGTCTTTACCAGAGAACTAGTAGAGAGAAGAATTACCACTCTGGAATGTCTTTGAGGTTTCTCAAATGCTAGAGGGCACTCCCGAGCGACTCCAAAATGAAAGGGTTAAGATGAAGCATTTGAGCAAAATCATAGTTTATAAATGCTTAAACATTTTTAATGTAAAATAATACATTAATTTACTGAACATAAAACAGCACAAAACATTTTAACACTGCTGTAATATTTTTAGGAGGCTTTGAACTCCAGTTACAGGAGTTTAAAACAGTGCCTCATGTAGGTTCATGATGTCAGTGAGCACAAACAGCCAATGAGCTGCTCCGCTCCCTAGCCAATCGGCACCCAGTAGCAGTAATGCTAGCGTCCTGCTGCCGAAAACCTGTTTGCTGTAGAAAAAAGAAAACATACAAGTACGTTTTCTTTGCTGTTTTAGTAAGAAACATGCATCTATTTTCTAAAATTAAAGGAAGGTTCTGGGCAAGTGATTAGAAACTATTTTACTTTTTCATTGTTAGCCATTTAGCTCCATTTATTCCCATTCATTGAGGACTTGCTCACAGTGCCCTCTGGCAGCGTGGGTGTATCCAGTAGGACAATATGGTCTCCCTACAACCTGTTTTACAAAAACAATTTAAAAACTCAATGTTTATACCTCGCAATTCTACTCAGTCCAGCAGAGTAAAGCGGGAATATGCAACCTTTTGTTGCTAATGTAGACTTTCCTGCTCCCATTCCTTAGCCTACGTGTCTCCACTCGTATTGGGGAAGAAGTGATTGTGTCTTTTTAAATTGGGGTGAAATCGCACAGTGTATTCTTAGTGGGAATATACCAATATAACTCTTTGCTTTTTGAGCAGGGCCTCTGCCAGCTGCAGTTAGTTAGAGTGGCAGTGTACACTTATCTCACACGGTTTCAGAGGGTATCGGAATCTTGGTATCGGTACATTTTCATGAGTATGAGTAAATGAGCAGTTTTTGCCCAATACCCGATATCAGTATTGGTATTGATGCATCCCTATCCATAACCATCTGGTTTGGTTCGTCCACCTCACAAGAATGAGCCAAACTCCAGTGCATAATCGGGACAGTGGAGAGCATTATCAAATGTAGTCTACCAAAGCTTCAGAACATCTACAGCAGGGTGATGAAGTGCGCTCTCAAACTGACCCCTCTCATTGTGGACATCACCTCTTCCAGCCACTGCCCTCTGGTGGAAGATTCAGACAGACTTTTTCCCCAGAGCTGTAGCACTCATCAACTGCTGCACCATTTAAGGTGGAATGGAAAATTTGAACAAGAAGCTGAGGAATAAGCAGATGATTTCAGCCTTGTAACAAATCTGCAGTGTGCTAGATAATGTTAGACAATGTTAGCCCTACAAGGTACATGATGATTCATGTCAAATGCTGACAGGATACTTTATACTGTTACTTTATACACTTCGCGATGTCGACAAAGAAACTTACAGCAAACGTAACTCAAAAAGTTTGTCAGACAGCTAAGCTTGCTGAATTAGATGATTTTGGGGGGATTTTGGGGGTGTGACATGATAAAGGTTGTCCTCATAAGCTGCTAGTATAGCATTAGCAAGATAAGGTTAGCTAGTTTGAGTACATATGGGATGTGGAGAAAGCCACTTTCTGGAAGAAAGCCTTGAAGTCAAACTTCTATTTGCATATTCATAGATCTGCACATACTGAATGAAGGCAAAGGTGTGGAGTCACATCTAAGCAACTTTTAAGACATTAAAAAAGGATTTATTTCTTGGTTGAGCTTCAAAATATGTTCTATCGATGCCTGGAAAATGAAAATTGTCTTCCTTTTGACTTTCAAATCAGTGTCTTCAAAAAGACTAGCGTGTCAAAAACCATAAAATACCTCAGATAGTGGATGAGAAGTATTCAGATGTCTACTCAGCAATCACAATCTAAAATGTATGAACACTAGAATCCCACTGGGTTGTGGTTCTCAACCCACCTCTTAGAGAGCAACTTTACTGCAAAGTTTAGTTTATGCATCTAAGAGCTGGCATCTCTGTCACAAACAACTTTATAGCTTTGGCAAAGCTATGTAAAACAACATAGCTTAGACTCTAGCACCAAACAATAATACATTTGCAAATTGGACCAGTGCATTCCTGTGTTCAAGAAAAACTGTACAAGCAAAACAGACAAAGTATACAGTGGTAAAAATCTTGTTGTGATTGAGGCTGTAATATCAAATGTACCCAGGTACATAATGAATACTTAAGTGTTTCTCATTTTCCAGATTTTAAAAACTGCTATACGTAGTATTAATGTCAGTGAGGGATTCTCTGTCTTTGGTACCACTTGCAGTTTAAGCCAATAACAATTTAGCAAATCTTTTACTGTTTCAAGTGAAGATAAAGTCACCAAGTACATCACCAGTAAGTGCACTGGAACATGGACTAGATTGGTATGTCAATGTGTTGATTGCAATTTTTAGAATTATTTCTTTGTCAAGAGTTTATTATACGGTAACATAAGTAAATTAGGAGGTTAATACTAGCACTATTAGCATTAATGCAAGCTTCATTACTTGCTTATATTTTCCCACTTGGCAGACGAAAATATAAGCTTTGTTTGAATCTACTCATGTAGACCCATGAGTTCTGTATGTTCCCATTTTGGTAATTTCTTGTTTTAAAATAAAACACCCTTATAAAGTAAATACCGCTTCACAAAGTTGTGAAGTTATCAACCTGGGAAGATCAGTTTGAAACTGGCTTTATAGTTTTCCAAAATCTTAGTTAATTAATTCTCAGGATTAGTACAAAATCCTGTTGTACTCATGCAGCACCACTGTATACAGTGTTATTCACCCAGAAGTAAGTTCTTCTGTTGTAATTTCTCTAATAAAAATCAAATCTGGAAAGTTGTATTACATTACAGCTATGAGCTGTGTGTTTAAGATCAGTTATTTAATTGAAGATCTTAATTAACTGATAAGGCAAGCTATGGGTCATAGCCCACCACTGACTGATCTATGAACCAAACCAACAAAGGAAAAAAGAGGAAGCTCTTGTTGGCAACCACCTTGCTGTGAATGTCTTTTCCTCCCGAGTTGCTGCAAAACTGGAGTCTTGGAATTTAAGGACGAACAGGATGACAACCAGGTAGATCCAGGCACAGACAGCTCACTCAGGGTACCAAGATAATAAACAGAGGACGAAATCTCTGAGGGGTAAAAACTCTGAATAACGGGACTGAAGCTTTCCACGCAACCAGCAGTCGGCAAGTAGCCAAGACATCTACATTAAGCCAGATACTACAATGATGACTCCTCAACTCCTCTGAATGCAGCGATTATTTTCAATGCTGCCCCACCCCCCGGTCATAGTTATAATGAAGTATTTCATGTTGTTACATGATTACAAGACTGCATAAAGACAGACTGGCATGATCCCGGCAAGTGAGCAATAATCTACAACCTCATTTCCAAAAAAGTTGGGACGCTTTGCAAAATGTAAATAAAAACAAAATCTTGAACCCAACTTCTTGGATGTCAGTAGCCAGCATCAGCCTGAAAGCAAACCAGACCATTGAAATAGTTAAAACAAACATATTCACTTTGCCAATGTATTCTAACATTTCCAAAAACACAAAGTAATATCACCAAAGGATAGAATGAAACACCAAAATATTAAGAGAACCTAAAAAAGAGTACATGGGTGTATACCGAATACATAAATGAATAAAAGATGAGTAAATAAAGGATAGGTAAATACATGGATTAATAGGCCATTGCAAGCAACCAGCTGGTTATCCCATGATGTATATCTTCCACCCTAGTAACTTTTCGTTATGTAGAGGGGCCAGACAAGGGCTGAGGAGAGGTCACCAGTTCGTTACTTAGCCCTAATTAATTCCTGGAGCTGGTGCAACACAGCAAGTCACATGAAAATTGCTTTTGGTTGTAGGAGTTTCAACTTGTAACACAGGAAAATATCCCAAAATATTAGTATTTTCCACATGTTCATTCCTAAGTGCCCTTAATTGATCCATTATTTTCGTAAAATTACCTTCTGCTGCTGTATGTATTGGGTTGTAACTAAAACATTTATCCATGAAAAGAACACAGAAACCCTTATCAGGTGCTTTCATAATGTAAATTGCAAACCGATTTTGTAATGCCATACGAAAAGTAGCATCTAATTGCTGATCAAACAATTCTAAGGCTTTGATGGTGTAATTCATGAACCTTGATTATACCAAATATAATTTATCCACTTGGCATTTCATGATGTTTGAATACTTGGTAAAAACACTGATAAACCTCCTAAGCTCGCATCTGACCTGGCTTTAAACTCTGGTGGTACATTAATAGGAACACCTACCCAATTTAGTGTTGGTTTGTTTTCTTGCCAAATAAGGTCTCTCTTATGTCTAATTGTTAGTTCTCCCCATGCAAATATAAGAAAATTCCCACTAAGAGTAACCGGACTACAACATCCTACCCAATTATCTGATAGGGATTGTAGTAATTCCTTTCCTTCTTTGCAAATCCAAAATATGTCTGCTACAAGGTTAGATCCTACAGTAAAGTCTATGTCAAAAGTAACATTCCCTTTATTCTTTATTTGAATAGTGGCATTTGACTTTCTATCACATCTGGTAGCAATGTTATTAACCTCATTACCTTCTTCTAGACAAAAACAAAATGGAAAATTCAATCTGCCATCCCTTTGGGCTTAAACTATCCAGTAAACAAAGTAAGGCACAAATTGTAACACTTTCCCAGCATGGCTACTATAGTTGGTGCATGTTTAGAATGGCATGCTATACAATGTTCATCAGCATTGGTTTCAACAGTCTAGCGCAAGTAATGATACTGCATGTTTTGAGCTGTGACAGCATACCCTGTGACAACCATTCCTTTTTCTTCAGAATTAGTTTCATCTAAGGTGTCTTCTATAATTTCTCATCCTATTTTCATCATCTCATGGGCCTTCCATTTATGAACAACAACTCTTCTGGAACTCTTAATTGTCTCATAACAGATGATCGGTTCACACTTATATCCTTAACTCACACCTTGCTCCTACTGTCATTCTTATAGGAACTCTACATTGATCAGCTTTTGGAATCCCTATTCCTCTTATTCTCCCTTTAATGTCTTTTAAATAGGCTTTGGTACCTGTGCTCCTATATTTACATAGGAATCACCTGCTCGCAGTCAATGATTATTTCTAAGAAGTAGCAAAAGAAATAACACACATTGTAGCCCTTTGTTTTTCCTGCTAGGTATAATACTTGGTCCAACATAATTAGGCTCTTGAGTACAATTGGAAATACCTGGAAACCATTGACAATAGCGAGATTGATTTGTTACTGTCCGTTCACGCAACACCTTAAATTCATTTGGTGTCCCACGCAATCCTTGACAAACTTTTTGGCTGGTAATTGCACAGTACCGTTCACAGTGCACACCATTAGTCCAGTTATAAGTTCCAGGTTTGGCACACAAGAGAGTATTCTGGTTCCGCTCTTTTCATCCGCTCATGAAAGCACTGATTGTGTGCACGTGTGTCATTTTCCAAACAGTCGGTTTTGTACAACATGCACACTGTCAGTCCCAGCAAAACACAAGTGATGAAAAAAGCAAATGACAACAACATCAGGAGGTTGACAATTGTGTTTCACGTTTCATCAGTTCAGTCATCCATGTCATCACTGTCCATCTGCGCCTGTGGTGTCTCTCGGCAGGCTTGGGCTCTTGTTCTTGGTCTGAAAGTTCCACTAGGTCCAGGCTCTTGGGAGTCATCATCCTCGTGGACGTGTTCTTCTTGTTGTGCTGGAGGTTGTTCAGTTGCTGGTCTCAGTGTAGGTAGTGCTCTGGAACAGTGCTTTCAATGAACCCACACCTTTTGTCCATCCACTTTAACTGCAGTTGGAGTTGCTAGGACTACCTTGAAAGGACCCTCACGTCTTGATTCTGTCTAGCCTCTTTTGAAGACCCTTTTATAGACATAGTCTCCAGGCAGCACTTGTTTCAGCTCTTCTTGTCTAATATCTGAGTTTCTTCCCTCAGTGGCATCTTTCACATCATTAAAGATTTCTCTAATGATCTTACTCAGACATTTTACATATTTGTGTAACTCAACTTGCAATTGCTCGAGTCGAGGACCTCTAGTAGGTCCTCGGAGATATGTCACAGGCATGGGGCGCCCTGTGAGTATTTCATGAGGGGTCAAATGAGAGGTTAGTAGTCATTCTCATGCTTATTAAAGCTAATGGTAGAGCATTTAGCCAATTAATTTTCTGTCTGCTTGCTGCACACAGCTTAGCAATTGTAGCCTTAAGAACTCCATTTTGACATTCAACTATGCCCTGTGATTGTTGAGGATATACACATCTCAATCTACGTTTGATTCTCAGTACCTTTGTGATTATGTCAATAACTTTCTTAACAACGTGTTGGCCATTGTCAAAACTAATTTTATCCGGTATGCCAAATCAGGGTATAAGTTCTCTTAACAGAAATTTGGTAGATTAATTTGGTGGATTCCTGCGTCCTCTTTTGCAGTAGGTTGAGCTTCTGTCCATGTCTGTAACCATGAATACGTAATGATATTTTCCTACTGGTTTTATCATGTCAACATAGTCCATCACTGTGTGTCTGAATGGACCATCTGGTATGGAAATATGTGCTAATGGTGCAGTGAATGATTTTGTATATTTATGTTTTGTGCAAGGTACGCATCTACTCAAATATTCATTTATGGCTGGAACCAAGTATGGAGACCACCAATCTTGCTTAATCAATTTAACTACTTCCTTTCGATTGACATGTACTGGTTAGAATATTTAATAATTTCAATGGAGCTACATAGAGATCATTTGGACCGTACCAAATGTCATGAATGCAAATTGCTCCCCTTTTCCTCCAATTATGTTTCCAGTACATGGCAGTCGTTTCTTGTAATTCTTTCAAGCTAGTTAAATCTGCAACAAACTGAGGTTCTTCATTGTTTGCTTTCAATAAATCTCAGCCTAACCGTTGTAGGTCACCTACTGGACACTGAAGGACTGCTGAAGCGGCATCTTTGGTTTGCTGATCAATAAAGTTATTTCATCTAGTGATCAGTGAATCATCTGTCTTATGCCCTGCACATTTTACTATGGCTACTTTTGAAGGAAGCTGAATAGCCCTTAATAATTCTGATATCACTTCCCCTTGTAAAATTTGTGTCCCATCTGTTCTTACGAACCCTCATTGTGCCCAAATTGGTCCAAAAATGTGGCACACCCCACAGGAATACAACGACTCAGTAAAAATTTAAACTGGTTCCCCCTTGGCTAATTGGCAAGCTGTAGTTAGTGCGTTTATTTCAGCTAACTGTGCTGAACAGGGTTGTGGGACACTAGCCTTAAATATTTTTATGTAGAAAATGAGCCTGTCTCCTAGTTTTCGCATACTGCTGCAGTCATATCTTCAGAATTTTTTCTGTATTTCTCTTTATACAACTTTTTTTTGTATGGCCACACTTTCAGACAAAACACACAGACAAACATTAAACATTTATCTCTTAGCACTTTTCTCTATAGCATGCTTTTTTCTCTCTCTCTTTATCTCTCTTTATCATCTCTTTATTTCTCTCTATTTTCTATTTCTCTGACACGCTTTTTCTCTTCTCTCTTCAACGTTTTATGAATTTTACTACTCTTGTCCGTTTTCCTGTATGGATTTTAACATTTTATCCTTTTTATATTATAATTTTTTACATTTTATCCTTTTTATTTATTTTCAAATTTGATTCTTTTTATATTTTTCAGTTTTCCTCCTTCTTATAAATTTTCCTATTTAACATTTTCCCCCTTCCAAACTCAGCCTGCAGCTCTCCTTCTGTTATTGCTATATGTAACGGGTAAGAGCTAAGAGGACTGGGAGAGTATAAACTATGGGGCACTAGGATCCAGCAGCTGCAGCTAATACAACGGCAGTGAGACCCGGCAGCACTGCAGCTAACTGAGGGACAGTAGGACCCAGCGGCATGGCAGTTCTTACACACTAACGCCGTTTCACTTTATTAAGCTCACCTGTGGCTCACTTGAGTTTGTAGCTCGTGGCGCGTGCGTGCATGGAAAAAACGTGGTGAGTTTGGCGTCCTTGTTGTTTTAAACTAAATTGGTTTGCTGGAAAGGACATGTTTACGAGTCCTTCTCAAGCTAAAACTGGGTGCTACGTTTGTTTTAGTTCCCCTGTCCTGTGAGACTGGTGTGCCTGCAGGGAAAAGGAGAGGATATTCTGTCTCAGAAAGGTTACAGTTGCCTTCTGCCGTCGAGGCGTTTGAAGCTTGAGTTTGGTAAGCAAGCACTGTGCACAGTATGCACTTTTATGATTGTAGCACTGTTACTTGTCTAGTTTATGCTGTATGCAGTGTAAATACCTGAAACCTGTTCTCAGGTGACTCCAACAAGAGTTTAATAAGTAAGCTTTTTAAACACGTTTAGGTGATGTTACTTTTAGTTTGCTTTATTTAAAATAAAATTTGTATTTTATAAGCTGTGAATTGTGGTTTCTGGGTGCCCATAATAGGTTTTATGTGACTAGTGGCTGTGTCTGATACTATTGGAGTAGGTTAAGTGTTGGTTTCTTTTTAGTTTATTTTGATTTGGTTAGTTATTTATTTTTCTCTGTAATGTGATGTTTATTGTAGAATCTTCATGACGGTTCACTGTGCTTCTGGGACGCTGGGAGGGTATCAGGTGGTAGATAGCTGCTGCTGTTATAGGGGCAGTTAAACTACACAGGTATGAGATGTACTGTGGTGTCATAGGCAGTTGCCCAAGTTGGAAGCCTGAATGGAGGTTCTAATAGTTTTTAGTTTCTCCTTTTAATAGGAGCATGTACGTAGCTTTTTTGCTTTGTTTTTATTTTGCCTGACAAATTGCTTTATGGTTTTGTTTCTTTATGGTTCTGAAATTTGCATTCTGGATGTCATTTCTTTTGTTTAGTTTGGCCTGCTATTACAGCTGGGGTTTAAATAATAACTTTGTAATCTTTTTGTCTTTTTAAATTAGAATTATACATACACTCAAAGACTCTTTGAATTTGCTTAATTTGTTTTCGTCAAAGTGTTGCACGAAATTAAATTATCTACATTCAGATATATAATTTGAGTAACATTTACTCATTACCTATAAGCAATGTCAGCTTAACTATATTTTGCAGGATTTACTTGAATAACTAACATGAATCATGTTCTTTCTACTTAAGCAAATTATGTAGATTGTAGATTTACTCATTGCTTGTAAGTTTTGTCAGCTTAATTATATTTTGTAAAATTTCCTTGGTGGAATTTTAACTAAATTTAATCATGTTCATGCTATTTCATTAAATTATGTAGTTTGTTAAATGACTTTTTGGTTAACTCTTTAGTGTACTAAATTCTGATGTATTTCCAAATAGTTACTCATTGTTTATTATGTACAAGAGCTTAATTATATCACAGATCATTTATTAATGTACAATTCTAAATGCTAATTTTCACAAATTAAACTTCAACTACACTTATTAATGTTCCATCTATTTAAACACCTGGACAAGACAATGACTATCATGACAATAAAAAAAAATAGTGACTTCATTAAGGTACATCAAATGCACATGCATATTAGGATCAACTAAAATACACATTTGCTTTACCACTGTAGAAAAACACTGAATATTAAGTAATAAAACAAGACTGTACACAACATGAAGCAGTGTAGTAAAAAATAGACTAAATACTTCTCTAAAAGTGCACAGGTATCAATACATTATTGCTTGTCTTGCAGGCAACACAAGCTAAAATGCAACTTTACATACAATAAGCTTCAAACAGAACACTGCAATTATAAACATCCATCCATCATCATCTAAACCGCTTATCCTTCTGGGTCGCGGTGGGGTGCTGGAGCCTATCCCAGCTGTCATCGGGCGGAAGGCAGGATACACCCTGGACAGGTCGCCAGTCCATCGCAGGCAATTATAAACACATTCACCTAAATGTGTGTGCCTTTAATCACAATTAAGTCTTAAGTAATGGCCCAGAAATTGTGAAACAATTAAGTAACATTCAGTAATTATGTAATGATAACACCAACCTTAAGTGCAACTTTACAACAGCAGATATTTAAAATAGAACAGCACAATAATACAGTATTAAATGTTATGACTTTATACAATATCCAATTGTCATCAATGATCAAAATAATGCCCTGGAAATAGGTGCCTACAGAGTACAGCCTTCTTGTCAAAGCACTGCCTCTAGTTAGCACAACCTTATTTTGCTTGTTAGACTATGCAAATTTAGGGTGAAAATTAAGAGCTCAAACTGTTCAAAAGGCTACTTTGTGCAGTTTTAGCAGAAAAGACTCCTAAAATTTAACTGTGTGCTGTTTTAAGACAAATTGTTCTTAAACATGACCAGGATCTTGACATGTTGTATAGAAAATCATTGAAATGTCATTGAATTTTTAAGAGATGTTGACAAATACAGCCATTCTTGTTTCATGTGACTTAAGCGTTGTTCAAAAGTCCATTGCTTTTCAATCAAAGCAGAAGCTAGTGTGAAAAGTTCCATATATTTCCAGAACAGACAGCCTACTTTGACTATCCCAAGATTTTGTTCTCCAAACCAAGAATATTAGGGGAGAGCTTTGCACCATCCTTTGGCATGAGGAATGTACAAATTCATAGCAGCATTTCCACCCGTTCCACCCGTTACTCCAAGCATTACTGCAGTCTGGTGCAACTGATTTGATGTTTCCTACAATAATGTTTCCATCAGCGTCACCATCTTCATATTCTCCAAGAGCTCCACCCTCTTCTGATGACATGTCCATTTCAGTGCTGTGCTGGTCTCTCAATATGTCTTCACCATGAATGTCCTACAAATTAAATCTTGTTATTAATACTAAACTTCATTGTTCTCTTGCTCCATAAAGAGTTCAGTTTATTTCTCATTTGAGCTCTTTTAAATACTTCCAGGCACCTCCTGACAGGTGTGTTTTTTTTTTTTTTTTTAAATATCAAATACTTATTTTATGATGAATCTAAATAAAATCAGCCCCCATCTCCCCAAAACTCCATTCAATGGTAAAATACACATTACAAAATGGATACTTCTAGTTCACCCTTCTCACACTGGCACCTACAATCTGTGGTTGGTGCTAACATACTAACACACCACGCCGCGTTTCGATTTGGATTTACTATACAGATGGGAGGGGGCTGATTTTTATTAAGTAAATGTTATTAGCAATTGATATAAGAACTGAGGTGCCTGGAAGACACACAGCGTTTAGAAGAGCACAAATATGAAATAAGATGAATTTACCTTAGTTAGAAATTAGAACTGAATTAGAATGATGGTGATGTACTTAGGTCACATACTGACTTACCATGTATTCCTTGATAAGAAATCCATCATTCAGGTGTGGACAAAGAGCTTTTATGATGGCTTCTCTTTTACGGTGGACATTCTTCGCCTGCACATATTGATTGCACTTGTTAGAATATACCTTCAACTGTTTAAAGAAAAAAAAAATGGTACATTAACTTGACAAGCATACAAGGAACACATATGAACATCAAAATCCTGATCATCTTAGAGACTGAAAAATGATTACTAATTTGAACAATAAAACAAATAAATAAAAAGTAGCTTTACAAGACAAATAGCCTCATAGTTAAATATCAAATCTGGATCATAAAAATGCACTTAGCAGAGACTTAGAACATGCCACAGAATCCTTCCCTGTCTAGGGTTTGTGCGTTATTGAGCATCAAAATCAATGTATAACAATTACTTCTACCACTTGGAACTTGAAGACCATAATGTTTAACATAAATACAGCTTGACTAAACATAAGGTAAACCCCATTTTGGTAACAATGACAGGAGTCACATAAGCAAAATACATTTGTGAGTGTGTGTGTCTGCACCATCTTATATACAAAATGACATTCTGATTATAGTAATGATTAATGACAGTCTGCTGTTATACGGCCAAACATAAACCTCTTTTCCACTACAGGGCTGAACAGTTATCATTAGCTTGCTAATTAACAAGATAACGGATTCTATTATAACAATCTCTACTGACAATTCTGATGGAGCAAAGTCGAGCGATTGGTGTTGAAGGAACAGAAAGCTGAAATTAATGTTAAACCTGCTTCATGGTGCTTGTAGCCTACTAGCTAAGTTAGCCAGCTAGCTGCTAACACTAACGTTTGCTTAGCTAACTGACGCTAGCTAGCCGCGCTAACGGTATCAGAGTCCATGCTGGAACAACACACTGCAAACTGGGTTCATCGAACAGAGCATTAAGTGTTAAATGGACAAACGCTGAAATTAAACCAGGTAGCTGATGTCTGTAACCTACTAGCTGCTAACGCTATGTTTGCTAAGCTAACGCTAGCTACAATAGCGTTAGCAGGCTCCATATCCAAACCCCAGGCTTGGTGGAGCTAGCTAGCTATTGGCTAGCTAACAAAGGCTGAAATTGCATGGGTCTGTGGACACCAGGCCCCCAAATATCAAATCCAAAATCAAAGGCGAAGCGAGCACAGCGTCCTCCGCGGGAAAAGATTACAGGTCACGTCAAGGACACAAAACTAGCTAATGCTAGCTAGGTTTGTTCACTTCGAATATGTGTTGAACTGAGCCCCTCACAAACTTACGCTATGCTACTCGTCCCTTGACTGTACGTTTTCATCAAAGTTATATCCAATGCTGCGTTGTGTGCATCTACAACCATCTAAACACTATTTTACCGTGTACCTGTGTGATGACACAGCAGCTAAACACACTCGTCTGCAGTGAACTGCAGAAAATGGCGCCGTTACTTAGTTAACCTAGCTAGGCTAGGTCCACAGTAACGTCAGCTAACGGTTGTGTTCAAACTTGGTGAGGACCTCAAGTGACCTCAACATGACAGATACTTATGAAGGACACATTATATTAAAACACTGACCTTTACAATTAAAACACTGATCAGCTTTAGTAAGTTTAGTGATTATTTGACTGAGTATCGTTATGTGTTCTTTGAATATGCGTCGGTTTAAACTAGCCTTGCTAGCTAAGCTAGCGGATTTTAAGCCCTGCTAAGTCCTCCCTTAACCTTACGTTTTTGACAATATTTTTCTGCGTAAATGTCATGAACATGTTAGATGTCCATAATGACAAACAATAGACAATATACAATCTCCTACCTTGTGAATGTAAGAGGACAGAATTTCCTCAGGTCAGCCAAATCTTCCCGGAGACGAGGTGTAGAAAGTGACATTTTTCATATGTGCAGTTTACTGGTTTTCAACATTGCTTATTATTATTTAGTTGAAGCAAAAACACATTTAAATTCAGAAACATGCACAATTTTATTATGTAAAATTTACTAAGGGCCAAGTTCATTTTTTTCAGTGTACATAGTCTTCCTCATTGCAACCTACCATTTCCCTTGTTGATACAGCTTAAACCCATTGGTATATAGAGTGAGTCTGGTGTAGGGATTGTGGATTTGTGTTTTTGTTGTGGTTTATTTACTGGGTTGCTTGGGTGTTTTTTGTTGTCACTTGAGGTGGAGTGCTTGCTTTAAAATCCAGTGGGTATTCCTTAAACGCTTGGGAATCATTGAAGGTTGTACTAACCATATAAGTATGTTTAAGACTTTAATGATGGAACCTGATTGCAATTAAGCTTTTTTATGTTATTCTATTGTACATCTGCCCTCTGATGTCCATTTATTTGAACAGACCTCGTGGGGAAAATAATAAATGGTGTAAGTGTCCATTCTTTATATAATTTTTAACTGCAACTGTTGCTTTCATCCCTTAATTGAGTGGCGTAGTCGGATATTTTGGGCTTATAAGGGGGCTAGCGCCGCCGCTCGCACCCACATATAAGTCACAGCTACAAAGTTACAGTTCTCATAAATTACTATTACATTGCAACCGAATGGCCCCTTGAACAAAAGCTTGCCCCCCACTTTACAGTAATCCTTCAACTGCTTACCTTAAAATGTGCACACTGTAGGTGAAAAAGGTCAGATTTTTGCACACAGAGACGGTAGCAGATAAGCAGGTGTCACGGCAGCGTCAGGTTCTTTTCTGATTCCCTTTGACGGGCCACCAGTAATTACGTCGGGACCAAGGGCTATCACCTTCACCCCAGGCCTCTGACATATTATTCAAACTGAAATCTTTCAATACTGGCTAAACACTAAATTCTCAAAAGATGTCAAAAAGGAAAGAGTCTTCAGCCGCTGAGTTCGTGGAAAGAGAAAAAGGCTTCTTTTTTTCAGCATTCAGATGGCGGGTCTCCGGAGACCGACAGCGCAAATACAGTGTACTGTCTGCCCTTATATACCCTTATCTGAGGTTACTAGTCCCCATTCAAAAACTTCCCCATCACTTGGTCTCTCTTAAGTTCGCTTTTGCACCAGTTTATCTGATCCGACAATGCCCTACTTGACAACATATCATAGAGACCCATATGAGTTCACTGAGAGTGCACCTGCAAGTAAGGTCATCTAAGTTCATCTGCTTTGGAAAGCCCCTGAATGGGCAGGCTGTGGCCTAATGCATCATATATTGCCTCTTAGTGAGACATTAATATTCCCTTTTAGCCAATGCTTATCTATTAGATTATTGATTATATTTCTAACCTTTTTTACTCATTGAGGATGTATTTATTCAAAATTCCCCATCAGTGTCTCCAGGACTAGGGTTGGGGAAACGCTGAGTTAGGGCCGGTGTCCAGTACAGTTTGGTGATTTTCTCTCAACACGCCTGCTAAACTTGGAAAACCACTAAACTGTGCAGGACTTCAGGCCTCCAGGACTGGAATTCGCCACGCTGGAGCTAAAGGGCTCTCGAACCTATGACAATCCATATGTTATGTTTGCGTTATCCCAGCTCCCAAGATAACTTGACCAAGCCATTAAATAACACAGAGCACCAGATACAGGTGTTCTGGGACCAAAGTTAGAGCAAAAATGTATCTGAGAACCCATAACGTTTTCCTGCTGTATCTTCACAAGCCATTTTTTCCGAAATGTCTCGTCCTCAGGAAGAAAATGAAAACTCACTACTGAATTGTATCTTGATGAAACAGAGTAGAGTGGCACAGAACAATGCTCTGAAGCACGTCTATCACACTTCTTGAAAAACTCATATCAATATCAATATTAATATTTGTTAAACTTTTCACAGATGCCATTAAATAAGCCACTGAAAACCTAGGCAGGAAGTAAAAGTGCTGGTAAAACCCAAGGAGGAAGTACGTCACAGCTTCTCATGCGCATAGCGAATTTTGGATCTGATTACTTGTAGTGTGCATGTAAACAGAGATTTTTCCATCAGATTGTTGAATAGAGTGTGCATATAAACACACAGCCACGTAAAATGACAGAGCGGGGTCAGCGGATGCTGAGGCGCAGAGTGCGCAGAGCAACTTTCTGCAGAGTCAAATGCTACGGACCTCTAAACTTCATGTGGCCTTCAGATTAGCTCAAGAACAGCGTAGAGAGCTTCATGGAATGGGTTTCCATGGCCGAGCACCTGCATCCAAGCATTCTATTAGATCCATTAGAGCAGTGGAGACGTGTTCTCTGGAGTGACAAATCACACTTCTCTGTCTGGCAATCCGATGGACGAGTCTGGGTTTGTCAGTTGCCAGGAGAACGGTACTTGTCTGACTACGTTGTGCCAAGTGTAAAGTTTGGTGGAGGGGGGATTATGGTGTGGGGCTGTTTTTCAGGAGTTGGGCTCGGCCACTTAGTTCCAGTGAAAGGAACTCTTAATGCTTCAGCACCAAGAGATTTTGGACAATTTCATGCTCCCAACTTTGTGGGAACAGTTTGGGGATGGCCCCTTCCTGTTCCAACATGACTGCGCACCAGTGCGCATGGATGAGCAAATTTGGTGCGGAAGAACTTGACTGGCCTGCACAGAGTCCTGACCTCAACCCAATAGAACACCTCTGGGATGAATTAGAGCGGAGACTGTGAGCCAGGCCTTCTCGTCTGACCTCACAAATACGCTTCTGGAAGAATGGTCAAAAATTCCCATAAACACACTCCTAAACCTTGTGGAAAGCCTTCCCAGAAGAGTTGAAGCAGTTATAGCTGCAAAGGGTGGGCTGACATCATATTAAACCCTATGGATTAAGAATGAGATGTCACTCAAGCACGCGTGTGAAGGCAGGCGGGCGAATGCTTTTGGCAGTATAGTGTATATGATTAAAGAGTGCATGGGTAGTAGTACAAAAATAATTTTAGAACTCTTATTGTATTTTTAGGTTTCAGTTTGGCAGCACACTAGTATACTTAAATTATATCATAAGAATAGCCTAGTATATATATAGCATGACTTAAATATATATCAAAGACAAATGAACAATGATTCAGGAAAAATTAGTGGTTCCAAAATAACTTCAGTATATAACTATTGAAGCACTACTTATGTTTACTTTTTCACAAGGGGAAGTCATGTTATAAAATTTAAGATAGTGTACGCTGACATCCTACTGATGCGATGTGATTTTGTTGGTTAGAGCCACATTTCATAAAAATTGTATTATACAGTTAACATCAAATTAGCCCAAGGAAGATCATTTTAAAGCTGTTTTGAAGTGTACTTGTATTTTATATTTACACATTCAATATAGCCAGGCATCACATTTATCACTAATAATAATAATATGCTGCTAATACAGAATATTTCATTGTGAGCATTATTTCAGGCACACTTCGTTGAAGTATAGGTTCACCTAACACCTAAATAACACATTGTTAAATACCTTTTTAAAGTATAGTATAAAATAAGCACAGTTCATTGTAAGCAATTTTTCAACACACAACTAATCTTTTTCAAGTATATTTTATTGAAACACAGGTTTAATGCAGAAATATACTTTTTCAGGTATACTTCATTTAAAGCACATGTAACACAGAAGTAAATGCTCTTTTTGTGAAAGTTTAGTTTAAGCATAAAGCACAGTTCATTGTAAGCAAAGTTTGATGAAGCACTATTTCAAAACAAAAGTAACAATTTAATTGAAGTATGTTTTAAACACAGACTAACACATGCTCCAAGGAGGCACTTTGCAAAAGTATAGTTTTATCATAAAATAAGCGCAGTATATATTTTTTTCTGAAATATAGCATCAGTGCCAAATTAGCGCACACAAGTGAAGTATACTTTTTCAAGAATGTAACTGCAGCACCATTCAAGGTGGAATGAAAAAATCTGAACAAGAAATTGGAGAAAAAGAAGCTGACTTCAGCTTCTCTGAGTCGAAAAGGGATGAGGAGGTTGCTCTGTTTCTGCTTGACACATAGGTAACTAACTTTCCTTTGCTATTTCACAAAACTAATAGGTCAGTATTGTTGTATCCCATTTGCTAAAGTTTGTAAGCAAACGTTAGTTATGTTACTCGCTGTGTTGTTGTTTGCTCTAACATTGTATGACAAATACCATGATATAATGTTTATGAAGGGTTTTATAGCCACGAAGACCTAAAAAAAAAAAGTTTGCTAGCTCAGTGTTGTTTCACTTTGGCAATGCACGTCCATGAATTTGGAGGGTGGAGCTTCTGAAGGTGCACTGAAGGGAGGGGTGCAGCTATTTGTTTTACTGTTGAGTTCAAATATTGAGTCTTTCTCCAGAATTACTGACTCTGCCTTTTAACAATAAGATAATTTTGGAAAATCAGGACATCCAGTTCATTAATAGCCCCTGACTATTTGTAATGGGTGTGTTAAAGCGGTAAGAACACTAAATGTTCAGAACCAGTGTTCCTCCAACAGTACTGCGAGCCTTTGTCTGAAGCCAGTAACAATGTCACTAACGTTGTTGTTTATAAGCTCTCCTTGTCAGTCAAGAATCACTTCCACATAATCATTTTGGGTAGAACTATCCTTGGGTTGGTTAGTGAGTGTTAATGTCACTTATACTATAGCAGCTGTAATGCTATATATATATATGTGTATATATATATATATATATATATACACACACACACACAATCTCAATGATACTCTTCTTTCAGTTCACTTACAGCACACTATTAATTTTAGGTCTAACCTAACACAGCAAAGTAAATTGCACAAGTCATTTGACAAAGACAAACATTATGATGGAGGTATATGGGCCTAGGTATGAAATACTAAAACATCTGAGCTGAAAGTGCACTTCAAGTACAGTAATCTTGCCTTAAATTTCAGTAAAACCATGTCGGTAACAGGTTTAAGTTAAACCTCAGTAAAACCAGATAAACGGCACCATCTAGTGGCAGATTTTATTTATTTATTTTTTTTAATTGACAGTAGTTGGGTTTAGTTTAAACCGCAAGTGAGCTTTAAACTGCTGCTTCCGAGGACGCAGCAGTGGAGTTTATTTGCTTTTGAATTTGCATAAAATCAGAATATGCTGCCATATCCATGTGTGTATCACTCAGTATTGGACAAATGGTGCACTGTAGGCAATGGGTTTAGAAGCCAGAATTTCATAACTTGCATAGTGCGCTCTATAGTTGGAAGGAAAGCTAAATTTGAGGTTCAGCCTAGGTTTAATGCGATTTAAGGCAAAACTAAAACAGACATTTGAAGCATCTAAGACATTCAAGTGACACATTGTTTACTTGCATTTTTCTAGCGAGTCATGTAGCAAGTACTTTAAGTTAAAGCCTGTGAAAGCCTAATTGTTAGCCCCTTTGTTTTAACAAAACAAGGTTCTTATTTCATCAGTACACTCAGTGGTCCATGCGAGCAGCCTGACAGTCAAGATTATCCCATTAACAGCATAAGGATTTTTAATGATGTGACACAGCAATACAGTATTTAATTGTTGTGGGGCAGTAGGTGTGCGTATAGAGTATTTTACAACGGCTTTGAATCCAGCAAACTATCTGTTTTATAATAATCTTTAAAACTTGTTTTCTTTGAAACTGAAGGATCCTTTGTTCCCAAATTCTCAGATTACCAGGGCCCTATATTTCTCCAAACATACATGTTTTGAATCAATGTAAAACCTGGTATGGTGTGTGTGTGTGTGTGTGTGTGTGTGTGTGTGTGTGTGTGTGTGTGTGTGTGTGTGTATCTCTGATATTGATTTATTTAAGCTAGGTTTATTACTGGAACACATTGCAGTTCTCTTTTTACTGCTAGTGTATAAACCTGAAATCAATACTCTCAGATTAGTGCCATGTCTAGTAAAGAACATGCCACTGGTTTAAACAATATACTTAATATCATACTGTGTCTGATTGCTCTATCAATACACCACCCGGATTCATGAGGAGTGATCATCAATGGGTGTTCATCAGTGCTGGTAAATTAATAACGTTTAACAGTGATTGCTGTATTTTCTCAATCTGTCATTACTGGAGGCTTTTGTGTTCCTCGGATGCTTTGTGGTACTACCGTAAACATCTTTGAGGTGTAACTGTGAAGGTTGGGTCGATCAAGTGCTATTCATTTCAGGTCCCAGGCTTCTCCTCTGAAGTCGCTGAAGGACGGCATGTGTGCACTGCTCAGCTTTACCAGTCGGGTTCTAGATGATTTTGTCTCCACAGAAAGAGTTGTGGCACAGCTGTGAATGTTTCTGAGTGGTTCTAGAGTCGGACTCTTTAGTCAGTTTGTCATTTCCAGAGGCTTCTGTCTTACTAGTCTGTACCGGTCCTCATGTTCTGAAACTCCACCTTTACAGCAACCCCAGAGAAAATCCATCAGGGTAGCCACTAACGGAGTCTTCTTCTTTGTTCCCCTTGCCGGTGTTAACTATGGTCAGTCAGAAGTGGGTTTTGATAGAAAACTAATTGATAAGATTGTCATTTAATTAAAATGACAGTATCTGAATCTCATATACAAATCATAGCTGAAATGTAAGTTTTTTGGGTTTTTTTTTGTTTTTTTTTGGTAACAAGTTTTTTTCTTATATGGCTCCGTCATTGTGATGTTGAACTGGTGTGGCACTGCAATTTAGTGATGTCGCCTGTCTTGGTTTTCATTGACAATTGCTATAACTTGATTCTGATTTTGATTGATTTAAGTTTGTTTTTTCAGTTAGGTTAGCCTTGCATTTCATTTCACACATTTTTATTGTTTACAGGTGTCAGTTTACTGTCTAATGTAATATTAAACTTTTCCTTCAGTACGGTCTCTATCTCACTGTCTGGTATTTTCCTCATATCATAGAGGTCTACGTCTTCTTGAGGATTAAATGTGACCTCACTGTAGTTACAGCCAACCAGAGCTCTGAAGCCAGTGGGTGTCTGAAGGGAACAGATGGATTTCTGAGTGAACAAAGACTCACAATTTGTCTGGAGGTACTCGGAGGCCTCCAGAAACTGGTCAGTGCCACGTGGCATTAAAAAGAAGCTGAACATGGTTTTTGTCAGGGGCTTGTTAACGAGGCTGCACTTGGCAAAGGCCTCATTCTGGATCAGTGGCTTCCTCCCGGTCTTCTCCAGGGTCCAACTCTCGCCGTCTTTCAGTAGACGGAACACCCCTGGGGGCTGAGGTTGGTCTTTACCTGCGATCAGTTCTAAAGGCTCCCACATTTGGTCTGATACACCATAACTAACATCAGCAATATAAGGCTTACCATCAATCTCAACCAGATTGATGAGATGTGACTCCATGGGATTGGAGTCATTTTTGAGGAGGTTGCAGTCCTTGGTGCCCAGCATGGTAAATTTGTAGCCCATCTCTCTCAGCACCCAGGAGAACAGCAGGTTGTTCTCAAAGCACCAACCTCCACGATGGTCGAGCACAATCTTCTTATAGATGACATTAAGGTCCAGAGTGTTCTTCTCTCCACAGTGGATACTGAGGTTCTCGAAGGGAACAGTCATGACATGCAGCTTGTGTATGGTGCACAGAGTGGGCAGGTCAGCTTTGTCGTACAGACCAGTGAAGCCAATCCTTTTGAAATATTCCTTCAGGTCCATTATGCTCCTGCAAGAACAAACAAATTGACATTACTGTGCTACACATGTTCAAGTTGCACTGCTGTACCATTATGAAAGGTTAAAAGAAAATTGTACATTTTTTTTTCGCAATTTCTGCATAATAAAATCGTTCCGATGTAAACAAAGTCGTTCAGAGTGATCTGATCTGAAGTGGTTCATTATAGGGTTGCAATATTTACAGGACACAAATACCATTTTATCTTTCAAAAGTGTTTTAAAAATGTTCTTAAGTGTTAACATAGTGCTAAATATGAAAAAAAGTTTGCTTTATCCTTAATGTCCTGCATCTCTCTTTTACATGCTAGCGATGCATGTATGTATGTTTTGTTTTGTTCTCTCTTCCCCATTCACTCTACCAAACTACTCTACAAGTGTTGTGAATGAGTGAATCACCGGTGAGGACTTTGTAGATGCTTGGCTGCGCTCTTCTGTCCTCCAGTCTGAGTTGCCTGATGAGAGGTAGGTCTTGGCACATTTAAAGGACCTACCTGAGAGGAGGGGTGTGTGGGTGTGTGTGTGGATGGGTGTGGGTGGGTGGGAGCATTTAGCGTGCTTGAGACTTTTATGGCAACAGCAGTATTGTTAGGCTGTACTACTTGACTGGCTTGAAAATGTAGCCAGAGCCAGTAAATGTTAGTCTCACTTTGTTGCTCCCTCTCTTGTTCTTTCTCAGTTTCTTGCTTCTCTTCCTCCAGCGCGATGTGACGACAGGCAAATTCGCGTTCACCTATACACAAACGGTAGTTGGTTCATTGTTTAGACACATCAGGTAAGGGCCGTGTGCAACCTGCTGTATTTTTGGTGATCAGATCTTGTTAGGCAGGTTGGCTGTTGGTTTCATTTTTTTGGCACGGTCTTCAGTTCACCTTTACTGTTGATTGGACCATCCAAGTTGATGTTTAGTTGAATCCTACAACATTATATCATAAACGCCTCAGCTATCATATTTGCAACCACTTCATCTAATAGTTTTGTCATCTAATAGTTTTGTCATTGAATACTTTGGATGTCTGGTACCTATCAACACCATAATGAGATTCTATTTCAACATTTTTCTAGAATGGCACATTTCACATCAAACCACACTGAATGACTAATTACATCTTAATGATTTTATTATAGAGATTTTTTTTAAAAAATCGGTGGAATTCCCCTCTGTTGTCTTCTGAAGTTCAACATATGCCTTCTATGCTGAATGTTATATTACAAAAATGCAGTGAAAGATTGCTCTGTCGAACAAACGGGACAGTTACGATAGTGATCAGGCTGCAGACTATCTAGATTTCAGTTTTAGTACAAGTCTGGTGAAAGTACATGTGAAATCCAGCATTTAAAAAACATAGCTAAAAATCTTAGGTACTCATTTATAACCTTTACTAATTGTGAGCAGGGAGGAGTGACAGTTTAGGTAAAAGAGGTAGTTAACCCTTGGGCCCCTGACAGAGATGCAAATTTGAGTAAAACTAGGTCAACAAGGTATAGCTACACTTAAAGCATTAGATATCATAATATTATAATTATGTAAGAGTAATCAAATTAAGATTAAAATTTCTTTTGCAAGTGAGCCCTGACCAAGAAGACAGCATACGACAAAAATGATCAACAAAGAAACCACACCTCCACCACCAACAGTCAAATCAAAATCAAATCAAAAAACACAAGAATAAAGAATACAGTTCTTTAACAATTATCTAATAATTGGTCAAGTTGATAAACTGCTCCAATTTCAGAGTTTCTGCAAGTCATTCCACTCAAATGGAGCACTGCAACTAAAAGCTGCCTTGTCGTACTTGACCATACTGTCGGATTGTCCAACTGAATATAACTACCAGAACATAAATTGTACCGAACTTATTTGTTGATAAGAATGCAAACAAATACGAAGGAAGCTGATCAATAATTGCTTTTTAGATGAAACTGGTCCAATGAGTTTGGCATTGCACTGAAAATGGAGGCCAAGCAATGATTTCAAAAAAGTTCAGTAATGAGCTAAATATCTAGCACATTATAAATCTTTACACAGAATGATAGTCCTGTAAGTGCAACATTGTCTTTGACGTAAGCTTGTAAAAAAAAAAAAATCTCCATATTATAAAAAGGCAGCTTCAACTATTTTGTTTTGTGCCTGTTCAGTAAAGCAACAGCTGTTACTAAAATAAAATCCTTTAACTTTATCCATTGTGCATTATGCAATTTAACAGATTATCATCTAACGTAAAACCCAAATTTTATAAGATGAAACTAATTCGGTTGGTCTGCAACAGATAATGGTATCATTGGCACTAAAGTGCATATCAGCATTTAAAACATTAATGCGGTGGTCATTAATGTATATTTCAAAATGGAACCCTGTGGTACCCCAGTTCAAAAATTACGTGCTGACATCTGTTACTAAAATAATTTCTAAACCAACCTTTAACATTGTCAGACAAACCAATACTAGCTAACTGGGATAGTAAGATGTCATGATTAAAAATGCCAAAAGCTTTTGATAAATCTATGAATAATGCAGCGCATGACTTTCTACTATCAAGAGCATTAAATGTCATTAAGTACTTTGGTGGTAGCTGTAGCATTACTATGTTGTTGGTTTTTTCCAAAAACCAGACTGGAAGACGGACAAAATATTACTTTCTAAAAGCTGCTTTAACTGATCACTAACCAGAGATTCTAGAATTTTAGCTAGTACTGACAGCTTAGAAATTGGGCAAAAACTAATTTAGAAGAGGGGTGGCTCAGTTCGCTTTTTCATGTCAGATACGCAACCTTGAATATCTGCCGATACCAATACGCTACCTTCTTTTTCCCCTGTCTTAAACAACTAAGCTGATAACAGTTTGCCTGGATGCACTTTGCTTAACCTAGCCATCTAAATAACGTCATGCTCAAACTGTGAAACAAATATTCTACTCCTCCAAAGGAAGAAACACACAGCCCATGACATGACTATGCAATACTGCTGCTTCTTTTTAATCTAACTTTTTTTAATCTAACTGCTGCTTCTTTTTAATCTAACTTTTAGCAGCATTTTTAACAGTCCAGTCTACATGTCTCTTTGAGCAAACAAAAACACAGAGCAGGCACATAACCACAACATGTAACAGTGTTTTTGTTTAAAACCTTGAGCACAAAATGACAAACTACAATGTTATAACAAATATTACATTTTCTCTTAACTTACCAAACATGATTTACATTTCCAGTATAAAATGTACAGTAGAACACAGTACAGAAGACATGGCACATTAAGGCACTCACACCTGTAACTCTAGACTATTACGCCTGATATCAAATTAGCTGCATCGCTAACTCCGCGTAGCTGACATGACCGCGCTGCTGATAGGTCTCACTCATGCTCGAGCTGCTGTTCATGTGATACATGCTGCTTATCTTTCTTGTGTTAGGGCTGTCATAATTGGCCAAAAATGACCACATAGGTTTGAACCATTTAAACATCTATTTTTGCGCATTTCATCCATAAGAGCCAATATCGTCCATTTTTTTTTTTCTAATTCTAAATTGTTCTAATTGTTTTCTTTAACTTATAATTGTGACTTCATTTAGCTATGCACTGTGATTAGTAAACATTAGGTAGTTTTTAATTATACGTGGGGAACAGTTTCATTACTATTTGCTTTGCTAACAAAAATGAGACTATATGGCTAGAATGGTATTGTTCATAAATGACTTCTCACTGCTGCTTCCAATTTCATCTGAGTTTTTACACATTCCAGGTATATTTGTGAGTATTGTAACTACTGCAGCATAAGGTGCTACTTGCTGTAGTCTTAATCACAGTTCCATAAAATCCTTCTATCTTGCATGTGTTTTTTTTGTTTGTTTTTTTTTAAAGACATGTAATGATACAGAAGGGCCAGTCAGTACCTCACTTGAATCAGTGCCCAAGCTGTTACCACTACCCTTTTTGTTCACGTAGTTCATTTATGCTCACCAGATTGGGCAAGTTAAAAACACACAAAAAGCCATTTTAACAGGGCAGTTCTCCATGAAGGTAGGTTCATCTTAAGTGTGGTGTTCTTGCATATGTACAGTAGTTTGTACAGATATACATGGAATTCAGTATTGTATAGCATAGTTTTAAAATAGTTTTTTTCATGAGTTTGCCATCAAGAAGTGGTTCAAATGAGGAACATAATTTATCACTAATGACAAGAACAGGAAAGTGCTGGACAGACTGAAGAAGGCTTTTGGACCTGAAGTGAGTGTGCACAGGCAAACTGTTGGGTAATTTTCACTTTTCTCCGTTGCTCCCCTCTTTGTCTACATTTAATGCAGTAATAAGATTACGGTGCCTTTTCATGTTTACAAGCATTCTTATGGACAAACAGTGAGCAGTGAGAGTTGCTACAATATTCATGTTGACACTACAGTGTTGTGCGGTTGTACCGAAACAGGAAAATGTGTTCAGAAGAACCCAGTACAACTGCTCTGACTAATACTTCGACAGTCCAAACCAGTGTCGCATCCTCGCACAGGGAGCCATCTCCCCACCTATAAAGGTTGCTCTCACTTCAGTTTTAGTCTGCTCACTACACCTGACTGTTTAGTAATGTTTCCCTATTTATAGCCTGTCTCTTCCCAGTTCTTTGCCAAGTCTTGTTAGAGACGTTCTCTGTCAATTCTGAGGCTTATTGTTTCTTGTTATGCCCTGTTGGATTTTGACCCTTGCCTATGTTTCTTAGTTTTTGAGTTTTGGACAATACCTTGGATTTGTTTGCACAGAACTTGATTTTTTTTTTTTTCCCTTTTTTTTTTAACCTGGTCTTTGGTTTACAGCCTTTGAAGTTACCCAGTTTGAAAATAAAGGTTACTTGCACTTGGATCCTACTCGCTTCTGTTCTTTGGCGTTACAACCAATGGCGAGTGTTGCTCCTAAATGGAATGTTTAGCCCTTACACCCTTGATTTAAAAAAGTTTATATTCTAATAGACTCTCTAAATGTCTGCCTCAGGAGATGCAATTGTCTGTCGATCACAGACCTACGTGCCAGTAGAGACTGCTGTGATCGTAACAAAGTCATAGATAAATAACAATGGTACACACAGACTACATTTTATATTTGCTATGAACTGAACTAAAATGTTTTTTGCTTTGTCTTTATTTTGTCTGTTTTAAAGTTTGACTGGGTTTTGAGAAAGAATGACCCAAAGGAAACCCTTGCTTTGAACATTATTCTCAAGCGAAAAGATTTCTGGACCTTGGGTCAAAATGGAGAGCTAAAGGCAACAATGAGTAAACAATCAAATATTTTGTGGAAAAATGTTTGTGACTATCTGTGTACCTGGCTCTTTCATTCTAACAACTTCAGATTGCAAACAGCTGTCTTTAAACTCGAATGGCTAATTCAGAGATGAGTATTAGTAAAACTATACACCCTACACCCTCGTGTATAAGCTGCTTTTTATTTGTTTGTTTTTGGGAATGTGCTGGCAGCTGATACCTATGTTGTGGTTACATGGTTACCTCCCCTCGACCAGTATCCATTCTTATCATTTCCAGTAAGTCAACAAATTTATCTTATATTTGCAGCTTCTATACGTATAATGTAAGTGTGGGCATTTACGAAAGGCCCCAACTACAAGAGCAAAGGGGAGACCAAGTTGAAAGGGCTGCCCCCCCCCAAAAAAAAAATCCTACAAGAAATCTATTGTATCTTTTCATAATCTTACCTCTTTTCCCACTAATACCTTCTCTAAACTTCTCTAGACCTTTGCTCTTTCTGATCTTACTCAGCTGTCCTCTCCTGAAGAATTTGTTACATACTACAATAGCACTGTCTCTGAAATACTCAATACTCTTGCCCCTCTCAAGACTAGACGTGTTCCTCCTACTTGTTCCTTACCATGGTTTACTCCAGAACTTGGAATCATGAAAGTTAAAGTTAGGCGTTTAGAGCGCCTGTATAAGAAAACTGGTCTTTCAGTTCATTTCACACTTTTTACTGAGCACGTTTCCATATATAAAGCTGCATTAAACAATGCCCACTCCTCTTTCTATTCTGATCTCAAACTCTGGCAGTCACAGGCCTAAAACTCCTTCATACTATAAACAAACTTCTTCAGCCTCCTTCACTACCCATCCTGAACTCCTCTGCCCAGTGTCAAGCATTTTTGGATTATTTGCTGGATAAAATTAAGATATATCTGCATTTACCTGTAGCAACCGGCACTTCTCTTTCCCAGGCCTGTTTCACTCTTACCTAATAATTGTACCTCTGTTTTCTCCCCTGTGAACTCTTCCACTGTGTCTGAGATTATTTCCAAATTCTCTTGTACATCTCAACTATATCCTGCTCCTACGGCTACTCTTAAGTCCACTTCCTCTGTTATTGCACCTCTTATAGCTCATATGGTTTAATCTATGCTTTTCATTAGGCACTGTTCCTCCATCTCTCAAAATAGCTGCTGTCATTCCTATCCTAAAGAAACCTGGGTTGGACCCATTCTCACTGGCCAATTACAGTCCAATCTCCCTTTCTTAGATAAAGTCATGGAAAGAGTTGTAGCCTCTCAGCTGCATGACTTTCTATCCTCCAAAGCATGGAGCCTTTTCAGTCTGGCTTCCGCACTCTTCACAGTACTGAGTCTGCCCTTGTAAAAGTTGTAAATGACTTGCTGCTGTCTACAGATACTGGATTTCTTAACATCCTGATTCTTTTAGACTTAACAGCAGCTTTCGATACTGTTAATCATAATCTTATATATAGACTGTCACCTGTTGGCATTACTGGCCTTGCCCTTCAGTAGTTACAGTCATACCTTGCTGATAGGCATTAATACATTTCCCACAAATCTGGTATTGCTCCTGTAGATCAAGTGTACCCCAAAGATCTGTCCTTGGACCTCTCCTCTTTATCATTTACGTCTTCCCACTTGGTCAGATCATCTGCAACCATGGGTTTAACTTTCACTGCTATGCTAGGTTCTGTTAGTTGGAGCTAAAACCTCACTTTCCCAGGTATTGAACTTGTCAGTCAGCATTGATGGTGTCGATAGCCCAATTTGTTGAGAACCTTGACTGTCTTTTTGATTCATCTCTCACTTTTGAGTCTCACATTAAGCTAGTCGCCAAAACTGCATTTTATGATCTGCATAACGTTGCACGCTTGTGCTCTATGCTAAGTGATACTGATGCTAAAATGTTCATTAATGCTTTTATCTTCTCTCGCATCGATTACTGTAACTCACTTTTCTATGGCCTTCCAGCTAAACTAATCAATCATCTTCAGTACATCCAAAACTCAGCAGCCAGGGTTCTGACCTCCACTAAGCGCACAGCTCATATTACTCCTGTTCTTCGACAGTTGCATTGGCTTCCTTTTAGTTCTAGGATTAAGTACAAAAATCCTTCTTCTTACCTTCATGGCTTTACATGGTCTGGCTCCAACATACCTTTCTGCTCTCATTTCATTATATTGTCCCTCTCGTGCTCTCCGATCTTCTAATTCTGGACTCCTCACAGTTCCCTCAACTAGACTTTCTACTATGTGTGGCAGATCTTTCAGCGCAGCTGCCCCCAAACTCTGGAATTCTCTACCTTCCACTATTCGTAATTGCTCTTCTTAGTCTTCCTTCAAATCTCTGCTAAAACCTTCCTTTTTTTCTTCTTTAGTATATATACTAAAGAGTGTATGTATATGTGTGTGTGTGTGTGTGTGTGTGTATATATATATATATATATATATATATATATATATATATATATATATATATATATATATATATATATTATTATTATTATTATTATGGACACTCTGTAAAGCGTCCTTGGGTTTGTGAAAGGCACTATATAAGTTGAACTTCTCCACTTTGCTTTTAGATTATTCTTATCTACATTTGTCAGTAAAGCTTTTGTTTGTCAGAATCGAATCTGTTCTGTGGTGAGCAAAGCTGGCAGAATCCTAGCTAAGCTCATAACCAGTTACTCTCTCCTGTTTAGCAGCACAATTTAACTTTTAGAAAATGGAGTTTGATTGAAGCTTTGACGTTTATTGAATAGTGGATTTAAACCACTGCTTTCATTTATTTGGCATCCATGTGAGTGAACTGAACTTATTTGATTTGTGTTTGGGTTTGAAATAATGCAGCAGGATGCTGTGGCAGAATACAACATATAGAACCAATCAACAAATAGCTATGTCGTTACGTCATCCCACTGAACAGCTCTGTGGCCCAGAGTAAGGTTAGCTAACCATGCTGAAAAAAACATGCTGAGCCTGGTTTCTAAGCATTCTGTGTGGAAAAGCCACTGGAACGGTTTCCCTCCATGCTCAGAACAATTCGGCCCTGCAGTGGAAAGAGGCCGAAGAGAGGCTTAACTGTGATTTGCTTTTCCATCTTCAAAGTCTCAAACAAGGTTATGTTGCTAATTCAACTTTCAAAAGTTCACAAGCATTTAAGGGATACCCACTGGAACTTTAGGCTAAAACAATCCACTCAAAGTGACACTTCGAAATAATTCACAAATAAATTGTGATGGAAAAAGCAAGTCTGTGTCTAACATTTCTATTTCTAACATTAGAATCATTGAGCATAACTGTCTGACATTTGGAATCTGATTGAAACATGTCTAGCCTCAAAGGAGAAAAAGAGGAAGGAGACTTTAGGAATAACATCTTAGGAGTGCTTATGTATGCAAGAACATACTGTTCTTGACCGTAAATCCTTACATAGGGAAGTTGTCATTAAAAAAAATACAAAATTGCGTCATTGCCTCTGTCAGTAAAAACGAAGAACAGGAAAGGAGAGTAGAGGTTGCGAGTGCGTGTGCAAGAGCCGAGTGACAACTGCCACATATCTCTGTGTGTTTCAATGGTGTCTCTACCGGCCCCACCCGATGTCGCTGCATAACATAATCAATAATTCAGTATAACAAATAAATAAAGTGTGTGTGTGTGTGTGTGTGTGTGTGTGTGTGTGTGTGTGTGTGTGTGTGTATACAGCTAGCTATTGTTTCTCATTAGTTGTGGTAGCTACTCATAATAGCAAAGCAATGTAATGAGTCAAGTCGAAAACATAAGTTAAATTAGATACCCTGCCATTAGAGCAGAAATTAGAGATGACATGTTTGGGCCACCACAGTCAGAGGATTTCAACATCATTCAGTCTGGAAAGGACAAAAACTGCTCCTTCAATCCAGAGAGGTTCAAGAGGAAAAACATGGCTTTCTGTGGCAGATGTGTGTGGCAGATATATGGCACTCACTTCCATATACCAATAGGTTCAAACCATATCAGCGAGAGAAATTGCTATACAAGACTTTAAATTTTAAAACATACTTACAAATTAGGATATCGGAGCCTTTGTCTAGTCCCAGCTGTTATATCTGGCCTTAAAAAAGAGAAAAAAATTATAATATAACCAGAAGTGGGAAAAAAAACAACTATTAGTATTACAAAACGGTGGCTAGTGCTAAGCTACCACGCACTCCTGTTAAAAGGAGAAAAATAATCAGAATCTTTATTCATTCTGCTACCTTAGGCAACTGCCTGCGACACTGCTCACATCTCTTACCTATATAATATACCTAATATAACTGCCCCTATAACAGCAGCAGCTATTTACCAGCTGGACACCCTCCCAGCATCCCAGGATCACAAGAGGCAGTCAGGAAGATTCTAAAATAAACACATCACATTATAAAATAATTTAATGAACAAAAATATACTGAAGGAGCTAGCCCTTGACACAACTCCATTTAAAATGAAAAGCAGCACTAGTCAACTAAGGCCTGTAAATGGCCACGCATCGGCTACAATTTGCAGCTTCTGACAACATAAAGTAAATTCTTTATTTAAATAAATACTTAATTTAAATAAACTAGACTGAATAACACTACATAGTATGTAAAAACACTTACTTGTTAAGCTCTGCCTTTAATCACTCGACAGCAGTAATTAGATTTCAAATGAGCACCAGCCAGATTAAAGTTAAAGAAATAGCAATGGTCATCTGAGGCTGTTAATTGATCTTCCACTTGCTATAATTAGTAAAATAACATAAAATAAATGAAATAAAATGGTATTATTCAAGTGGACTAAAGTAAAAATACTACAATCACAAAGTACACAGCATGTGCAACCTCTGGCTTCAGCTCGTTCAACAGCAGGGATACTGGTTTGGACAACTGCAACTGCTTGAAAGGCGGGCCAGTATCAAATAAAAGTGGAACTAAAACCAATGCAATACCCTGCAAATGCAATTTTCTTTTAAAAAACACTCCACTGTCCTTATTTGAACATATTGTAACCACAGCATTGCTAACCATGCTTACTTTCCTGCACTTTACATGTCAGTAATACTGTTTTGCACTTCTAGTTAGATGCTAACTGCATTTCATTGGCTCTGTACCTGTATTCTGCACAATGACAAATTAAATGAAATCTAAAATCTACTCTAATCACAAAGTACACAGCGTGTGTAAGCACTTGCTTACTAACCTCTGGCTTCAGCTGCCTCAACGCCATGGATACTGGTCTGGACAACTGCAAACCTTGTGAGACATAAATTGCTTCCACTTTCAAGCAGGCAGGCCAGTATCAAACAAAACAAGTAATGTAGGGCAGGAACAAATGAGTAGTGCTGCATTAACATGTAAGTAACTACTCTTAACTACCAAGGACTACTAGTTCACTACTATGTAAGTAACTACTCTTAACTACCAAGGACTACCTCAGTAGGTAGTAGTGAACTAATGATTTGGGTAGTTTACTATTTACTAAACAATAACTACTGAGTCTCATAGAATTACTTAACTATAGTTTCCTAGAATAACTACTCATACATTTACATATCAAGTCAACATTAATTGCTCAATAGCTGAGTCTGACAAGGTTCCTGCTGAACTACTAACTGATGTAGTGTATTCCAACACTTCTAACAGTAGTGAAATAAACCACACAGTGTGCAGTCTCTACAATATAATGGATTATGTCCTCCCTTTCTATTCACAGAAACAGGTATCCTCAGAGAAGGCTGGGGCATCACACCACACTGTAATGACTGGTGTCCCTCGTGTTTTTTTTTGATCAGAAACCTTAAAAGGCTTAAAAGGGACAACTGCTAAAACACTTCAGTATTCAGTAGACCAGTCTGCTTTTATATCTCATCTTTAGAAAAGAAAACATCATTGTTTTCTGCAGGAGCATGTGTGCCAGTGTTTCTTCTGAACAGTAGTTCCTCCTTTAATGTCCTGTTCAGGGCAGGGTCAGTTGAAGAGAGGGCTCACACAAATATCAATGTGTACGTGTGTCCTGCCTTCAAATTCAATTGGTTCTACATATTACCAAGTGATCATGTAATTTGTGTCTGTTAGATAATGAATGAGGTGTTGCTGTTCTTCATTAGGAGTTAATGATGATCAGGAACAATATAAAATTAATAGTTAATAGTTACTTATTAACTACAAAACAGTACTGTAAAGTGTCACTATGTAGCACCCAGTTTCAACTTCAAGAAGGCTTCATAAACCTCTCCTTTCTAGCAAGCCTATTGAATTTAAAAATATAGCTGCAAGTGGCAATCAGCAGGTTTAGGCACCCATCAGCACAAAGCCTTATGCAGTTTTAGCCAACTAGGCCCAACAAGGCCTAATGCAGTTTGGGCCTCATTTACAAAGAGAGAATGAAAAATGCAAGGAAGTCAGAGTTTATCAAAGGACCTTCTCCATTTGCCATAATTGTTGAGCAATGTTTTTTTAAACATGATACATGCTTCATTTCATATGTAATGAGCTAGTACAACAGATAATGGCACCATCTGCATAAAAGTGCATATTAGCATTTAAAACATTATTGCAGAGGTCATTAATGTATATCGTAAACAAGAGCCCCAAAATGGAACCTAACATCTGTTAGTCATTCCTAAACCAACCTATAACATTGTAAGACAAACCAAAATCTGTGTAAGTCCTCTTTAATCTCTTTAGAAGTTTGACATAGATTACAAAAATGAAGTAAAAGATCTGATCTTTCAAACCAGACTGCAGACTCGTTTTCACTTCCCATATTGTTCTGATGTCCAATGCATTACATGTCAGTGTAGGATGACGTATTTCAAACCATGTCCCTGTGTCCCGACTTGTTTTAAGATTTACATTTGTCCTGTATGTCAAATGAAATGACACAATGATAATGATTAGCAGAGAATCACCACCAAAACCCTTGCGTTTATGCAAAAGGAACATACCAATTATTTCACAAGTTATGTCTATGTACACGTCTAACCAAAAAACAGCCAATCAGGTTTGGCGATTCTCCAGAGGCCTAATGGTCCAAGTGTGACCAATATTTTTTTACTACACTGATTCAGACAAGGTTTAAGCAAGTGAGTGACCGTTTGCACTTTATTCATTTGTTCATGGTCATATTTTTAGATTGACTGACTGCACCACAAAACTTATTAGAAAGGTATATGCTTTGCATTTGTTAGTGCTTGCATCAAATCTGAAACAATTGTATGCAAAGTGCTAGCTGTGCTGAAGGAGGAGGAAGTTCACAGTGTTTTACGAAAGTAAATCAGAGTATCTGTCAACACTGATCGAAAAGCATTGTCTTCGTGAAAACATTGTTGAAAAGGTTGTGCTGCTCAGATTGTACACATTTATTTTCAAACTGCTTCAGAATGTCTTCTGATTTGGAGAGTTTTGCATTAAATGTTCACAAGCACTTCCACATCTACGTCTATGAGATTTGCAAATCATTGCATTTTGTTCTTATTTACATTTATTTACATTTTACACAGCGTCCCAACTTTTTTGGAATAGGGGTTGTAGATCTTTATATAAAATGCTTATTAACACAATTTACCATCTCCATTCTATCTGTAGTTCCTTTTGTTTATGATCAGTTTAGACGTCATGTAAATTGCGATGCCACCTCCCTTGCTTTTTCCGATCTATATCCATACACTATATCCATAGACTGAAACATACCACACTATTTCCATACCCTGGATCATTATCTGAAGTTGCCATTTTGAGCCAGGAGTCATACAAAAACCAAGATCTCTGCCTTAGTTGCATTTGCTCAGATTTTCTCACAGCCTAATTTTGGCACCAAACTATAGACATTCAAATGTACAGAGACTTGTCCTATTAGAAAATTCCAGAGAAGTAAACGGGCAATTCAGGTCCAGGTCAGGGTTTGGATTGACATTACCAGCCATCAAAAGCAATAACATGATCAAATATTGCTGTTTAAAGTTTTTCACTGTTCATTATTCCCAACAGATTCAGAGTACAATTGTGAATAATTAGATGCAACAAAGTGATCCTAAATGATAAGTAGGTAAACAAAAGTTTGTCATTGATTCCTTAAAAATTGTCCTTTGTTCAGTCTGAAATAGTCAGTAAATTGATAAACATCCCAGGATAAACATCATTAATGTCCTTTGCACTGCCTGGCCTGCAGCTCAGTTCCAACATACAGAGAAATGCGCACATTGACAGCAGTACTCTGTGTGCTGGTTTATCTGGGCAACACACTTCAACTGGTAGCTTCTAGATCCCAGACGATAAACACCACCTCGTTCAATGTTAGCCACCGCTGGACCACTGAGTGTAGGAGCCAAACTCCAACCAGCTCAGCAACCTAGCAAGCCTGAGGTAGGGTCCCAGGAGAGGACACTGACAGACAGACACCAGCTGGCAAAGGTGCAGTCAAGGGTACTGTCCACAGCAATACTGTGGGTACACATGGCAAAAGTCCACCTTTATCTAGTTCAACTCTGTGAACTATAATTAAAACAGTTCAAACGAGTCCCTTTGGATCAGGGCAGATTAAACACATGACAAACGTAAGACAAACACTGACTAGCTGGCATCCTGGAAGAGGGACTAAAGTTCCCGCTACGATTGAAGGCAGCTGTTTAGATAACAAACACAGCCAAGCTGCCGTCTTGCAAAGGGGAGTAACAGAGTTGGTTTAAGGGGAGCCTGACCACTTCCTCCTCTAATATCACAAACATGATTTAAAGACTGGGGGTGAATGGAGCTAAGAATAAAGGGTTCTTTTATTGTTAAGATGTCAAGCTTGTAACAGACTTCAGTGCTGTATAGAGCCATTACCAAAAGTCTCTATATAGAACCATATACAACACATTCTCCATCACCTTTTAAGAACCATTTCATCATGCAAAGAACCATTTAAACATGCAATGGTTCTATATAGAGCCCTGTATTTTTATTTATTTATTTTTTTGCCCTGTATATTCATTGCAGTGAGTTGGAGGAGGAGCACAGAGCTGGAGAAGTAGTTGGAACAGTCCCAAAGGCTAGTCACAAAAGTGAAGTGATTTTGTTGGTACAGGTTGTACTAAGTTGAGATGACCACATTCAAAAAAAACAAGCACCAGGTGTGCTAAGACTGAGTTGTGTTTTGCACAATTGTCAAATGAGTCTATGCCCAGAGCCCTGACCTCAACCCCATCAAACACCTTTGTGATAAACTAGAATGGAGATTCCTATGGATGTAGAATGGGATGTCAAAAGCTCCTGTAGGTGTAATGTGTAGGTGTCCCAATACTTTTGTCCATATAGTGTATGTTTATAATTCATTATGGATTTAAAATATGTCTTCTAATTCACTTGGCCTATTCACATAAAGTTCTAGAAACAAGCCTCTTGAATGCAATCTTTCTAATATAGCTTAATGTAAAGTTAAATTATTTAAAATTTGTCATCTATTTAGAATAAATTGAAACTTTGTTAAACTGTACTAAAGTCAGTAAATATACACATTCATCTGAACTGGTTACAGTGTGCACTGTGTGTGGCATTTACACAATAGTACCTGAGAAGGAGTGTTACACCATGAGATACTTGCACTGATGTAGATGCAGTCTCATACCTACAAACATAACACATTATATCATGGTGTAGCATACCCTCCAGTGTATTATTCCTGTTATGCAGCTGATTATATCATCCACCACCACCAACAATCAAATCAAAATTAAAAAATAAAAGTGCAAACCAATACAACAAGAGTATGCATCAGATTCAGTTGTCCCTCAAATTCACATTCACCTCCACGAACCATGTCCTCAGGAGTGCACTTTCACTGAGCAGAAATCAGCACCAAACAACGCTGCATCTATGGGTAAAGAAAGGTCCAAGACAGGTGTAGCTCTTCACTTTGCTGCCGATTTGGATTATTAAATAGATGCCCAAGACCTTTTTACCCATTTCCCTTTCTGTTATTTCAGTGCTCACGTCATTAATGTCCTGTGCGCTGCCTGGCCTGCAGCTCAGTTCCAACATACAGAGAAATGCAACATCCAGGGAACTCACATCAACTGGTAGCTCGTAGATCCCAGATGATAAACGATACCTCGTCCACTGCTAGCCACTGCTGAACCACTCTGAGTGTATGAGCCAAACTCCAACCAGCCCAGCAACCTAGCAAGCCTGAGGTAGGGTCCCAGGAGAGGACACTGACTGACAGACACCAGCTGGCAAAGGTGCAGTCAAAGGAACTATCCACACCAAAACAGCAAGTACACATGGCAGTCTAGTTCAGCTGTGTGCACTATTATCAAAACAGTTAAAAAAGAACCCCTTTGGATCAAGGCAGATTAAACACATGATTTAAATAATAAGACAAACATTAAGCCAAACAAAGACGCACAGACTAGCTGGCATCCTAGAAAGAGGACTAAAGTTCTCACTACTATTGAAGGCAGCTATCTAAAAAAACAAACAAATATTAAGCCAAACACAGCCAAGTCGCCAATGCCTACAAAGTATTGTAGTTGGTTTAAGAGAAGCCTGACCACGTACTCCAGCCGCCCGCAAGCAAGTTTTCAGTGACTGCAGCTAAAAAAAAAAAAAAATTAATAATAGTAAATGTAATAAGGACCCTCTTTGGTGCTATATAGAACCATTTCTGGAAAAGTTTCTTTATAGAACCATATACAGCACTTTCTCCATCAACCTGTAGAACAGTTTTATCATAAAAATAACCATTTAAGCATCTTTACTAAAGAACCCTTAAAGAACCATCTTTTTTAAGTGTATTTTGTTTAAGTGACGCAACCGTCTATACTGCAAAAAAATGGAGGTGATATCTAATATTCATTTTGAAATATTTGAAATGAATATTATAAGATCAATTAATTCATTTCCAAACATTTGGTCACACTTAGATGGTCCCTTTGTAGATGCTCTACTTAAATCATTAACAAACCTTCTGGTGATGTTCAGTTGATTATTAACAACAGTATGATTAGGGTTTGGAGTGGATGTAGGTTTTGCCTTGAGGTTAAGGTTAGGTTTAGGGTTAGGGATAGATTTAATAAACTCTTTCACACTGAACAAGTTCAGTTGGATTTAATTAATATTTAACTTGAATGCTCAGACAGACTGAGCATTTACAAAGCACCTACAGTGGACCATCCAAATAGTGTCACCAAACCTTTTTTACTTAACTTCACTCAATACAATTCTTATTTCATTATGTTGGCAGATCATTTGCTTTTTAAAAATATGCTTATAACAAGCAACATTATCTACCAATATATGATAATTTGGTACGGAATAACATAAGTAAAGTAATGAATAGAGAGATTACTTTTTTCCAGGAAGTAGTAAGTAACGTAATCCTATTACAGTTCAGGAAAATTGAGTAATTATCCCAACACTGGAGCTATTTTTACTAACATTACTGCTAGCATTAAGTACAGCCTGCTGAGCCTGTGCAGAACTCTGTTCTGAGCGGAAAAAAATGTTACCTTCGGGAGTGTAGTAACAAACTTTTTGCTTCCTCCCTCTCTCTGCTACACCTGGATGACTTCATTTGAACATCCAGAAGAAGCTTCTCTCCATAATGTACAACCCCATTTCCAAAAAAGTTGGGACACTGTGCAGAATGTAAATAAAAATAAAATGCAATGATATGCAAATCAGGTAAACCATATGTTTAAAGGAAAATACTACAGACAACATAAATGTTGAAACTGTTTTTTGAAAAATATATGCCCATTTTGAATTTGATGCCAACAAAAAAGTTGTTTACTACTGTGTTGCATCACCTCTTCTTTTAACACTCTAAGCGTTTGGGAACTGAGGAGACACTGCTGTAATTTTGAAAGTGAAATGTTTTCCCATTCTTGTTTGATATAGGATTTCAGCTGTTCAACAGTTCAGGGTCTCCTTTGTCGTACATTTCATTTCATAATGCGCCAAATGTTCAGTGTTGACAGGTCTGGACTGCAAGCAGACCAGTTTAGCACCCAGACTCTTTTAATACGGAGCAATGCTGCTGTA